ATATAATTAAATGATTATATATATATATACCTTTACTTGACTCATATATCATCAATCACTTTTCACATCCCCATCTATCCCCCGGCCACATACTTGGGAGTGACACTTGGGGGAAACATGTACGGTCATCATGGCTGAACCACTGTCAGTTGAGACGTAAGCCTTCTAACTCTGGCTGCTTTTTTATGTATAGTATATTATATACTTTATATATGTATATACTCTGTATATATATATATATTCTTAATAAGTATATATATATATACACACTTGTTAACTGGAACAGGGCCCTGTATTCCCTTGTTTTTCACTGGGGAGAAATGCTATTCTTTTGACCTCGGCAGTTTCAGATGTCCGCGATTCGATGAAGATCCCCATACTTCAGCCGACTTCAGCCTGGACTCTCATGTTTGTCGCTAAAGATATCCATTGTTGTTGCATATTTGATCTATATACATGTACAATCTATATATGCATATTTGATCATATATATATGATTATATGTTATTTACAAATATCTGTAAATATATATATACATGTATATACATATAATAACATATGTATTTACATATCCATACATATACACATATATACATATTCCTTTTTACATATTTGCATGTTTGCAAATTTACACGAATACAAAAATATATACATATGTCATATGTACATATCTACATGTATAGATAGAAACGTATATACACATATTCGTTTATACATATATTCATATATACATATTTAAATATACATGCATACATGTAAACATATACACACATATACATATACATTTGAATTATACATATAAATTAATATATAGATAGATATTTACATACATACATACATACATACACACACACATACATACATGCATGCATACATACATACATGCATACATACATACACACATACACACATACATACACACATACATACATACCTACATATTTACATGTATACATATATAGATTTTTAGAAATTTAGATGTTTAGTTTTAGAGATATAAAGATATATTCATATATACATAAATACATATCTACATATTTACATATATACATATATACATATATAAATATGTACATATTTGCATACATACATACATATATACATGTACATATATTGGCATATGCACGTATATACGTTTTTACATATTTACATATATACATTTAAGCATATTTACATTTTTACATATATACATATTTACATATTTTCATATCAACATATTTACATATAAATGTATTTACATATAAACATATATTTACACATAAACATATACACATATATTTACCTGTATACATACATACACACACATACATACATGCATGCATGCATGCATGCATGCATGCATGCATGCATGCATGCATGCATACACACATACATGCATGCATCCATGCATGCATCCATACATACATACATACACAGACATACATACATACATACATTCATACCTACACACATACATACACAGACATACACATACATACATACATACATACATACACATACATACATACATACATGCATACATACATACATACATACGTACATACATACATACCTACATACATACATATACATATACATATAAATATTTATATTCATGTGTACGTTTATATATACATATTTGTATATCCATATATGTTTATCTATATATGTATATACATACATCTTATACACATACATATTGGTTCGTGAATGAAAAAGAAAAAATAATTTCCCCATATCTCGGAATCGGCCTCGCAGATCGACGACCCAGGTAACAACATCCTACTGAAGTCCATGCCAATTTCCAAAGGACACTTTTTGGCCATTCTTTGGGCGTCCCTGGTTGATGGTTGTTCAGGTTTGTCAGGTCTGTTCCAGATTTTCCATCGATAAAGGGAGTTCCAAACAAACGACCACCCTGTTTTGGGCAAAGAAAACCTTGCAGCTGTTAATTACATGAGAATGAACAAATAAGTTCATGGATATACATCCATACTACATATATATATATATACATAGGTACATATATTGTACATATAGGTTCTATCTCAACTGACCATGAATGATCCAGCTTAAAGGATCGTGGGACTCCTAGCTATCCGCACCATTTTTTGCCCTCGAAGAGATCCAGAGTATTCCCATCTTTCTGGGTATTCCTTGGTTAATCATGTTGTGTGCGAGCCTTTTGGCTTGGTCCAAGACTTCTGGGCGCCACATGTTTGGAGTTCCGCAGGATTTATTTGCAAAGTCTGTGATTTTGGTCTCTGCAGAATTCTAGCGACTTGACCTGTGCGAAATGATCTTCGGGACCGCACTTCTTGTGGTTGCTAAGTTCAGTAGAAATTACCTCCAAATTTTATTGAAATACTTGCATGATAAAGTTTTGATTTGGGGGTTTGAGGATTGAGTCTGGGGATATGCTATCGCAAACTGCATGATGATTTTTATGTTTAGCATCAACTCTGTTGTCATTACAGCGTCAGTATTTTTTGCCAAAAACTTGGACTGTCGTTTTTTCTCCCAGCGGAAGAATCATGAATACCGATACCAAATTGAAGTCATGTGAGCTTACACCTGAAAATAGGGCACCCCCAAAATCATATCCTTTTAAACCTATGTGTTGGTTTTCCATTGGAATAGACATTTTCGTATATTGTCCCCTATGGAGCCATCATGTTCTCACTGGGTCGCCTTGGGGCACCACTTCCGTGGAAAAACCTCGACAAATTCTGCCGAAAAAAACATCCTTGGACAAACCCGCGACATTGTACATATATATATATAATTCCCCTTGGAATTTCCACTAAAGAATGGGACAACCCATGTTAGCAGGGGAATTCCAACAGGGATTATATATATATATATGTATATACACATATCATGTTGCATCTGCTAGATCAATCCTTGGTGCATCTAAGCCAACTTAGCTAACAGACTGGGACAACACCTGAAGTGGTAAGAAAAATCCTGCGTCCACAGCCTTGAGCACTGAGGGGGACGACAGCGAGGAAATCAAAACCAATTCTCTGGGAACATTGTCGTACATGCCGCCCGAAGTCCTGCTCTTTGGCGCAGGGTGAAAGTTCTGCTGGGGATTCAAAAGCCATATTTAATGGAAAGTACATTTAGAAATTCCAGCTATTTGAGGGTAGCTAGGGTAGCTGGGTTTTGACTCATGGCCATATAAACTCAGGAAACTCAGGGAGTTTCTGCAGATTGGAAACTCAAGAAACTAGCATTTTACAAGGATGAAATTGAAATCCACAAATTCCTGCTGGTTTTTGCCAACTTCCACGGCCGTCTAACTTCAAACAAGTGAAACATGTTCAGAAATTGAGAAGCTCAAAAATATGCCCCAAACTATGTATGTGTAGACATGTATGTTTAGAGTTATGAATGCTCAGAGAGGGTATTTTAGGGTTGTTCATCTAAAACAAATCCAAAGTTTTGAGATTTGATAAGATAATACAAAACGGAGCTTCATGATGGACGACTAGCCAAAAAAATCACCAGAATCATGCAGTGTTTCTGAGCCTCCTGGTGTTTCTTGAATTGTACAACGCCCTGCAGAAGGAGTGGGTAAGGTATGTATGTGGTTCCAATCGACATTACTGTTGTAGATCACCCCTACTATCCAAATGGACCCACCCATAGGTTACCTATGTGATCCTATGTGTATATATATAATATAATATAATATAAAATAATATAACATAATATAATATTATATTATATTATAGCTATGGACCTTATTTTTTTTTGCAACATTTTGATCCAGTTTCCAAAGAACGCGCACATGACACGCATGGTCTGCCTCGGTGCCATGTTTTTTTTTATTTCGAAACCGAGGCAAAGCCAAGACCATTCCTTGACGCGTAAGACTGATGTGTGTCTTGCCATTGGAAGCTCCCAATTCATGGGGGTTGACCCATGATGACCCAGCCAAATGAGGAAAGGCAAGGATCCACGGGGCACTAACAATCGCTAACAGTCGACTTTACATCGACTATGGAGATGATTCCACATGTATTTCAGATTTTTAAGGTGGCGAAAGGTATCATGTCAAGGAACTGGGCTATGTTTCAAAGCAGGTCCCTGTCCAGTGAGTTTGTTTTCTAGAAATGGAGGACTATCATGTCCCATGATTGAGTATGGTGCACTATCTTGTTTTTTTATTCTCTCTCTCTCTCTCTCTCGTTCTTTGTAGATATTCATGTAGTTGTATATAATATGGAGGTTTCCAAAAATGGGGATACCCCCAAATCATCCATTCTATAGGAATTTCCAGTTCAAACATGTATAAACCATCTATTTTGGGGTACCCCAATTTTAGGCTTTTAGGAAACCCCCATATGTCGCTTCCTCGGTGTCACTGCAGGTATTCCCTGGGAATGATCGTTTGGATAGCAGCTCGCCACAGGGTGTGTGGTTGCCCCAAAGCCAAGACATCGCTATTCTGAGTAGGCAAATATGGGGCCAATGATGCTTTCAAACACGGGATCATGAGGTAGCCGTTTTAATGAAGAAACCCACATGTTTAGGTCAATGATTCACGTCCTTGTAGCAACCTCATGGCAAAGGGCAAAGGAAGTGTTTCACGTTTGCGACATAGCATGTGCTGCTCCCATATGGATGTACATCAATTTGGGCCCACAGGATTGCCTTTTTGCTCAGGTGTTGTTTTTGTTCATGCATATCCATGCATAATATAATAGAATGATTATTTGTCCTCACACACACAATGCGGGCGTTTTATACCTGTAAGCATCATAACAATCATGGAGGGATGATTTGAAATTGAAACCATTTGAAACCCAATAAATGTTCCATGCCATTCCAACTAACTTTTCGAGGTGTTTATGATTGTTTATGTGGGTCAACATTGCCCATGACCGGGACATAGGCTGTCATATGTTCAAAGATGGACCGGTCGGAATTGCACCAGTTGAAGTTTTGTTAAAACCATAGCGATACCTGGTCAAGCTAGATATGCTACCAGAGCACTTTATGACGCCGGTTCAAACAAATACCCAGGACCCAACCATCATGTGAATAGCGCATCAACATAAGCGTTTTCTTTACCTTGACCCTCAGTTGTCGTCCCGAAATGAGTAAAAGGAATATTAATGGCATGAGTAGATTTACACAAGTATAGGGATAACTAAGGGTCATAAGTACGAACCAGAATATTCCCAATAAACTGTCCTTCCGAAAAGGCCGCCCTTGATAAACCCAAACAATCTTGGCGGAGAAAAACCGACCTGCGGGGGTTGGTTCAATCCCCATGATTCTCAATCATGGTGGGTTTAATCCCGATTGATTAATCCCTATTCATTCCTACGAATCCCCATTTCAGAAAATGGATCAATTGGACGAATCCCCGAACTTTCCACCTGGGTCACCGAACTGTTTCAGACCCAGGTGCTCACGGGCAAAGCTCCTTACCCTGGACTCACAGCCCCGCAGGCTAGGCGGCTGCCGAAGTGGAAAGACACGCTGGGGATTCCACAGTATATGGCATGTATATAAATATTGGTTTTCCGGTGGAAATGGTGGATCCCCAACATCGTTGGTTTACAATGGAAAATCCTTTAAAAATGGATGATACCATCTTCCAATGTACGTGGAATATCTTGAAAAATAATGAAATGACTCAGACATACTATTATATATACGTATTTATATATATATATATATGTGTGTGTACTGGAGTTCTGGAGAAAAATATGAAGTGAACAACAGACATTGCCATTGACATCTACTTAGCTTATGGCATTCAGGATATTTTCCAATTTTCTTGGAATAAATTAATATGTATTGGGGAAACAATGGGATGAATAAAGCCACTATCAATATTCAACTGGTTGGTGGTTTGGATCATTGTTTATTTTCCATAATATATGGGATAATCCTTCCCATTGACTAATATTTTTCAAGATGGTTAAAACCACCAACCAGTCAATATTACTTGGAATATCATGACATTCAATGGGATAATAGATTATTGGGAAAAGGATGAACAGGCAATCAATGAGGCTCAGGTATGTAAATTCCAATGTAGTTCGATGTATCATTGGTTACAGTACCTGGAAACAACTATAAACTCTGAGGAGTTCCGCTGACATGTTTTGTGTTAGTCCTAATGACGTTCCATGTAATAATGAAACTGATAGGTACTTCTGGATACTAAACATGTGTTGTACTGAAATGGCGAAACGCACACATGACGCGCAGTATCATGTTCAGCATGGATGTTTCTGGAGGCGCCCCTGCATGGTTCTGCCAAGTAGTTTGATATCCCCAATGCTTTATGTATCTAATATTTACATTTACCGATACTGATTTTTGTTTTAGAAAAACAACAGAAGATCACCGTAGATCACCATAGATATCCATAAATATCCATAGATATCCATAGATATCCATAGATATCCATAGATATCCATAGATATCCATAGATATCCATAGATATCCATAGATCCCCATAGATATCCATAGATATCCATAGATATCCATAGATATCCATAGATATCCATAGATATCCAAAGATATCCATAGATATCCATAGATATCCATAGATATCCATAGATATCCATAGATCGCCATAGATATCCATAGATATCCATAGATATCCATAGATATCCATAGATATCCATAGATATCCAAAGATATCCATAGATATCCATAGATATCCATAGATATCCATAGATATCCATAGATCGCCATAGATATCCATAGATATCCATAGATATCCATAGATATCCATAGATATCCATAGATATCCAAAGATATCCATAGATATCCATAGATATCCATAGATATCCATAGATATCCATAGATATCCATAGATGTCCATAGATCACCATAGATATCCATAGATATCCATAGATATCCATAGATATCCATAGATCACCATAGATATCCATAGATATCCATAGATATCCATAGATATCCAAAGATATCCATAGATATCCATAGATATCCATAGATATCCATAGATCACCATAGATATCCATAGATATCCATAGATATCCATAGATATCCATAGATATCCATAGATATCCATAGATATCCATAGATATCCATAGATCACCATAGATATCCATAGATATCCATAGATATCCATAGATATCCATAGATATCCATAGATATCCATAGATATCCATAGATATCCATAGATCACCATAGATATCCATAGATATCCATAGATATCCATAGATATCCATAGATATCCATAGATATCCATAGATATCCATAGATCACCATAGATATCCATAGATATCCATAGATATCCATAGATATCCATAGATATCCATAGATATCCATAGATATCCATAGATATCCATAGATATCCATAGATATCCATAGATATCCATAGATATCCATAGATATCCATAGATATCCATAGATACATGGAACATATGGCAGTGGATATTTGTGGATCTTTACAGCAGTTAAAAAATCCACGGGGGGCCTGGATTCACCGATGCGTCCAGGTTGTCATTCAAGTCTCTTGGCTCGCAGTGTTTAAGTGAACATTTATAGATAGAAAAATAACAAGTATCCATGAAAAAGTAAAGATAGAAACTTATCACTAGACCATTGTGATGTTCTATCCTGGGGGTTACTCGGTTACTCTAGCCCATTTCAAAATCTAGATCTTAACATGCTGTACTTTATTGGAAGACAAGTTCATAGAGAGTCTCTCCGCATAGCCGTCAGCCTCTGCTTTAGCACAGCCCTACGGCCGTACGCATTCGAGGTCTCCAGGGGCAAGAGACCTGTTCTTCCGGAGAATCTTCCTGAAGATTTGCTTGCTGCTTTTCGCAGCATCTTGGTGAAATTTTGCTGCTGCTTCAAGCCCCATCCAAAAACATGTCAAAAAACATGTCCCAGATCCATTTTTCTGCTATGTTTACCTACATCAGGCCATTTTTGAGAACTCTATGTAGCAATGATCCATAGTTAACGTATTTATATTACATTACTGTAACCAATGATATAACCATTACATAGAAACGCATGAAACGCTTTGGGGATGATCCCATTCAGCGGATCTAAGTTACAAGGATTATTAATGGTAACTATTAATGGGACATATCAAAATATGTATTGGTTAATGTGTTATAACATGTGGATTGGTTTGTTACATTACATTTATGATTCATGATCCATAGTCATAGTTGAAATATCCATTCATCGAACATTAAATACTTCTTGGTTAATATCATTTCCCAGAGATGAATGTTTCCCATAGTTTTTCATATCATTCTATCGATCAGTAATCGCATCCATCATTGAATGCCTCCAAGAAACCCTCATTTAGTATTGGCCGCATGGCCAAAATTTGGAGACCAGTCCCTTCGTTCGGTGTTTGATTTTGATCTCTTAGTCGTTGAGAAGTGAACTAAGTGAAACAATCATTGAACTAAGGGAAATGTCAAGAACTGGGCCTGAAAAAGAAATGGTAAAGAAGCCTCGTTGGGATGGTTTTAAGGTTTTTTGACTGCCTTTTCCCCACTGGTCATGACCATAATTTAGGGTGGGTAAATCCAGATTTTTTGGACATTTCATATATATATATATATTTATATTTATATACATATATATATATAATTACCAATATATATATATATATATACCAATATAATCTTACCTGTTCTATATCCCATAATATTCCGGAATGTCACCACTATGATGCCGCCACATCCATATGATAATTACTGTATATATATATATATGTATTATATATGCTTATGATATTTTATATACATACGAGGAAAACAATCTACATTCATGGTGGTTTGTCCGTAAGTCTAAGTTAACTTACTGGAAACCAACAAAACATGGGACAAAAAAGTAGCAGGTATCATGAAGGATCTAACCAAATCTAAGCAGCCTCATTGGAGGATCATCCCACTTGGTAACTGTTTTTATTGACCGTGGTTAATCCCTGTTTATCCTCCAAGTAGGTATCTAACTCCCAAACAGTATTTAATCATCTACAAATGGTGATGTTTCGTGCTTTCTTTGTTCGTGGGCTTGGGGGATTGCCATGGAGCATAGATGAGGGGATCCCCAACAAACCATGGGCCATGGCGCCTCACTTGGATCACGTCTCACTTGAGGTACCTTGGCGGAGTCTCCGGAATCGCGTCCAAATTTCAGTGAGCTGGTGGATCAGTTCCATGGCTAAAGTCATGGTTCAAACCAATGGATCGGTTGGAAAATCACCAGAAACCAAGGGCACTTTCGGTTGTGAAATATGGGGGTTTCCTGGACCGAAAAAAACAATCCATTTTCCGAACATGACTTTCAGCACCAAAAAAATGGGAAACACTCAGTGAAATCACGTGCTTTCCGTATAGTTTGTACTTAGAGATTCCCTCCTGGAAGCCCAACGGACCAGAAAAAGTTGGGGAGATATGGCTCAAAGATCCCGCAGATCATCACAGATCATCACAGATCATCACAGATCATCACAGATCATCACAGATCGCACCTGAGGTTTTCAAAGATGTACAAGGATTTAGGCGGATCGCGGTGGGTGATTCTGGGTTTTCATATCAACTCGGCAAGATCTTGTGTCATTTGGAAGATCTTCTCCAGGGAATATAGCTGAAATGCAAACAGAAACTAAAATCTTGAAGTCAGGTGGACCCAGTCATCCAGGTGGATTGATTTTAGTTCAAGGTGCCTTCGGGCTCCAGCCGCGGTTGATTGCAATTGGGCTCAAGAGCTGCTGACTACAGGATTCCAATCCGCCGCTCCCACTTTTATGCACTGGCTGAATCTGAGGGATCTATTCAGGTCTGGAACTGTTATATATGATATACACATATAATAAACAGAAAGGACTGTTGTGGCCGCCCAAATCTCACACTTAATATGTATAAAGAATACTTCTTGTGAGATTTGGGTGTCACAACATTCCCTTCCGATAACTTGTGTTCTTGTGAGATTTGGGTGTCACAACATTCCCTTCCGATAACTTGTGTGTTGATATCTGTTCAAGCCCCAAGGATTAATCTGGATTAATCTGGGACCAAAAAAAACAAAAAAAACAAAAAAACAAAAAAAAACAAAAAAAACAAAAACAAAAAAAACAATGTTTTCAGGACTACTTGGATCAGGGCTATCTTTAGACTAGTCTCCAAAACATTGTTTTTTTTTTTTTGGTTTTTTTGGTCCCAGATTAATCCAGATTAATCCAGATTAATCCAAGCTAATCTACGATCATCAGATCTATTTAACATTTAAGTACTAACATGTGGTTGGCTAATTTTCTATATTCTCTGGTCATCTGCCTTTATTGGCTTTTAGCGCCGCTCTCTCTGTGTCTGGACTCCTGAAGCAAGTTAATCTAAGATCATCAGATCTATTTAACTACTACTTTCTAACAGATGGTTGGCTAATTTTCTATATTCCCTAGTCATCTGCCTTTATTGGTTTTTAGCGTCGCTCTTTCTGTGTCTGGACTCCTGAAGCTATGGCATGTGGTTGGCTAATTTTCTATATTCTCTGGTCATCTGCCTTTATTGGCTTTTAGCGCCGCTCTCTCTGTGTCTGGACTACTGAAGCAAGTTAATCTAAGATCATCAGACCTATTTAACTACTAATTTCCAACATGCGGTTAGCTATTTTTCTATATTCCCTGCTCATCCATCAAATATAGGCCATGTCGTTTGAATCCACAAGTAAGCATTAGCACATGGAAGTTTCCTCAAGTAAGGATCCATCAAATATATACCATACTGTTTGAATCCACAAGTAAAGATTGGCACATAGAAGTTTCTTCAATTAAGGATCCATCAAGTGACCCTCCAAACAAAGCCTGAGTACTTTATGCCAGGCGCAGGTTCATGTAAAGATCATATCATTGTCTTTTTACCATTTTGGGACCAAGCATCCATAACATTTGAAACATGCTTCTTTGTTGCAGGCAAAAACCTGGGGATACTTGAAACAGTTTTGGATTTTCCATATACATTTTTCCAATAGTAGCTAGCACTTCAATCTCTATATGTTCACTGACAGTTTCCTCCAAAGATTCTTACTTGAGATTTACATGTGATGCCCTTGGATCTGTACAAATGCTTACTTGTGAATACAAAGAAGTTTACTGTTTTGTTTAAAACCTCTTGACTTGAGATTTACATGTGATGTTCTTGGACCTGTACAGATGTTTACTTGTGAACACAAACAGAAACTTGTATTGTCCTGCCTAAAACATCCTTACTTGAGATTTACATGTGATGTTCTTGGATTTTTGTGGTATATTAGAGCATCTTTACTTGAGATTTACATGTGTAGGGGATGATCCTGGGCCTGTACAGATGTTTCCTTGTGAGCCAAAAGAATCTTTTATGGTTCCTTGAAACCTCTTTACTTGAGATTTACATATGATGATCTTGGATCTTTAGAGATGCTTACTTACTTGTGAACAGAAATAACCTTTTATGATTCTTCAAATCATTTTTGTAAACAAGTTCACTGGGCCTTTGCACTTGCAATTGTTTCAAAGTTTTGGGAAAGGAAACAAGTTGCTGGCATTGCCAGTTTTGATTGCATCACACTATGAATTTTATATGTCCATATTGGTGTCCAAAGGTTTGGGAATCAGTGGAATCAAGTCCAAATGTATAATCAAAATCCTTAAAAACCACATGTCAGCCCTTGAATTTTCATATAAATTTTATATGAAGTTTATATGCAGTTTATATGCAGTTTATATGCAGTTTATATGCAGTTTATATGCAGTTTCAAAACTACATGTAGTTTATATGCAGTTTTGACCAAACTACATGTAGTTTATATGCAGTTTTGAAAACTGCATATAAACTGCATATAAACTACATATAAACTGCATATAAACTGCATACCAAAAATCTACAGATTTTGAATGATTTTGACATGCCTGGAAAGCTGAAAGCTTGAGATTTTGAACTGCTGCTGCAAGAAAATTTGTGATTTTCAAGGATGACAACTTAGAAAGAAAAGTATATATACACATGCAAGACCTTTTAGGCAGACCACTAACTGAACCAAAGATACTTTGATGAAATGAACCTGAGGGCCATTGCTGCTAAAGTTTCAGATCCTTTTCAAAACTTGGTAAAGGCTGCAAATAATGTTTCTCACGAAATAATTTCATATGTGTCCCATGACATTTGTCAAGACTGCCTGGAACTTACCAAATAAAATTGCAAGACATTTGGCTAAACAATGGTTCAAGAGTTATTCATGACTTTTTTGTGTAGGTTTCCCAGTGAAATAGCTCATGGTTAATTAAAAACTTGACAACAATAGTTAAAAAAGAGGCGGCCACAACAGTCCCCTCCCATAATAAAATATCATAAAATATCCCTTCCAAACAAAAACTTGGCTGCCCCAGGTACCTCTCAAAATTCATGTTAAAAGATGTTTTAAGATATTATCAGATGTTTTAAGAAGCTGTAAGGTGTTATAAGATGCTTCAATATGTTTTAATATGTTATAAGATGTATTTTTAAGCTGTTATAAGATGGCATCATATGTTATAAGAAGTTGTAAGTTGTTATAAGACGTTTTAAACGTTTTAAGATGTTTTAATATGTTTTATGATGGTTTAAGATGTTGCAAATTGTTACAATTTGCTATAATATGTTGTAAGATTTTAAACGATGTTATCATATGCTATAATAGCTATCATATGTTATAAGAAGCTGTAAGGTGATATTATTATTTTTATTTTTTAAGATGGTTCAAGATGTATATATAATCAATTAAAATATGTTTGTACGGTGTTATAGGATGTTTTAAGATGTGTTAAACTTTTTTTAGTATGTTATCAGATGTTATAAGAAATTGTGAGGTCTCAAAAGATGTGTTAATATGGTATAATATATTGTAACATGTTTTGATATGGTATAATACGTTTTAGGTTTTTTTCTATAGGAAGCTGGAATGTCGTATAATACGTTTCAAGATGGTACAAAATTCTTTGCACTGGTTTAAGATGCTATAAGATGGTTTGAGATGTTATCATATGTTGTAAGATGTTATCAGATGATATAAGAAGTTGCAAGGTGTTGTAAGGTGTTCAACATGTTTAAGATGTTATCAGGTGTTATAAGAAGTTGTCAAGGTGTTATGAGATGTTTAAGAGGTTATCAGATGTTATAATAAGTTGAAATGTGTTATAAGACGCTTTAAGCTGTTATCAGATGCTATATGAAGCTGTCAATGTGTTATAAGATGTTCAAGTTGTTATCAGATGTTTTAAGAAGTTGTAAGGTGTTATACGATGTTTTAAGATGTAAAAGATGTTGTAAGAAGTTGCAAGGTGTTATAAGATGCTTTGAGATTGTTTTCAGATGTTATAAGAAGTTGTCAAGGCGTTATAAGATGCTTTAAGATGTTGTCAGATGTTTTAAGAAGTTGTAAGGTGTTACAAGATGTTTAAGGTGTTATCAGATGTTGTAAGAAGTTGCAAGGTATTAAAATATGTTTAAGATGTTTTCATATGTTATGAGAGGTTGTCAGGTGTTAAAATGTGTTTTAAGATGTATAGGATGTTTTAAGAAGTTGCAAGGTGTTATAGGATGTTGAACATGCTTTAAGATCTTTTAAGATGTTATAAGGAGTTGTAAGGTCTGATAAGCTGGCTAAGATGGTTTAATTTGTTGTTCGATGTTATTAAATGTTTTAAGACTTTGTAACTTGTTATAAGATGTTTTGATATTTTATCATATGTTATAAGAGGTTGTAAGATGCTATAAGATGCTTTAAGATGTTATCATATGTTGTAAGAAGTTGTAAGGTGTTTTCAGATGTTTAAGATGTTTTCAGATGTTATACGAGTTTGTAAGGTGTTTTAAAATGCTTAAGATGTTATCAAATGTTTTAATAAGTTGTAAGGTGTTCTAAGATGCTTTAAGATGTTGTTAGATGTTGTAAGAAGTTGTCAAGGTGTTATAAGATGTTTAGGATGTTTTCAGATGTTATAAGAAGGTGTAAGGTGTTATAAAATGTCCAAGATGTTACCAGATGTTATAACTTATAAGAAGTTGTCAAGGTGTCATATGATGTTCAAACTATGTTAACATGTTATCAGTTTTTTATAAAAAGTTGTAAGGTTTTAATAAGAAGTTGAAAGATGTTAGCAGATGTTTTAAGAATGCGTAAGGTGTTTCAAGATGCTTTAAGATGTTATCAGATGTTAAAAGAAGTTGTCAAGGTGTTATAAGTTGTTTAAGATGTTATCAAATGGTTTAAGAAGTTGTAAGGTGTAATAAGATATTTTAAGATGCATCAGATGTTTTAAGAAGTTGCAAGGTGTTATAAGATGTTCAAGTTGCTATCAGATGATTTAAGAAGTTGTAAGGTGTTAAGAAAATGTTTTCAGATGTATAAGATGTTTTAAGAAGTTCTAAGGTGTTTTAAAATGTTTGGGATGTTATCAGATGTGATAGGAAGTTGTCAAGGTGTTATAAGATGCTTTAAGGTGTTACAAGAAGTTATAAGGTGCTTTAAGCTGTTTAAGATATTATCAGATGTTATAAGAAGATGTAAGGTTTCTTAACATACTTAAGATGTTATGAGATGTTATAATAAGTTGTAAGGTGTTACAAGATGTTTAAGATGTTATCAGATGTTTGAAGAAGTTGTAAGGTATTTTAGTATGTTTAAGATGTTGTTATCATATGTGATAAGAGGTTGGAAGGTGTTATAAGATGTTTAAGATGTTTTCAGATGGTATCCGAAATTGTAAGGTGTTTTAGGATGTTTAAGATGTTATGATGTTATAATAAGTTGTAAGGTGTTATAATAAGATGTTTAAGATGTTTAAGATGTTACAAGATGTTATAATATGTTATTAGATGTTATCTGATGTTGCAAGCTTGAGTCTGTGTTACAATCAATTTGAGACTGTTTTCATTGGATTCCGGCAACTTGGCTACATCAGTTTTACGGCTTTGTTTGAACGTAGAGTACTGCCAAATAACATGTTTAATGATCACATGATGAGTAACCATCCGATTGGTTTGTTTGATAATTCTATTTCCAGACAGGCACAAAGATCATACTGTTGATTGTTGGTTCTATATCCCACTAGTATCCCAGTAAACACCGGATTATCAAAGGAAATTTAGTTACTGTATATAGAAAGCATCCGAATTATGGACGATTGTCATGGTCAGCATTTCCATCATCATGTCAACCACATCATCATGTCAACCACCAATCATCAAGTAGTTGGGAAGTGGAACAGTTCGGGAACGCGTGAATTCACGGGTGAAAGCACTCTCGGGCGCGAAACCATGTTTTTTTTCGGGTAAAGTGGCTTCCGTGGTCGCCGAAGGAGGGTCGCTGTTTCCGTGGTTCCGCACCTCGAGATGGGAAAGCCGTCGACAAAAAGCGCACAGGACTGTAGCGAGAGCTCGATTTCCATTTCAATATTCTGAAAAACTGACGGCTTCGGAGCACTTTTGGAAGATGTGCGCCAGATTTGTGTTGTCGAGTTCCCAGTGTCAGCGCTGCGCGAACGTTTGCGGGATTGCAGCTGGAGGTTACTAAATGCAATGAAACAGCTGCGCGGAGAGAAGAATTGGATTGCAGAAGCTACAGACAAGTAAGCCATAAGTGGCTGCTCAGAGACGAAAAGAAGTATATAGCTCAGAGAAGGGTGCTTCAGCAAAGAGGTCGCTCAGCGCAGAAGTAATAAGCTCACAAAGAAGACTAAGTCGCTCGCTCACTGACCCATCCATACATCCATCCATCAATCCATCCATCCGTCCGTCCATCCATCCTTGCCTCCATCCATCCATCCATCCATCCATCCATCCAGCCGACCAGCCATCAACGATTCACTGACTCAGTGTTTCATTGATACACTCATTCATTGAGTCATTGATACATTGTTTCATTGATACACTGTTTCATTGATTCACTGAGTCTTTGTCCACTGATTCATTCATTCTTCATTTTGTTGTTTTATTGATCCACTGATCCATGGGTTCATTGCTTCATTCAGTCGTTGATCCTCTGATTCATTCATTCATTCTTGGTTTTTTTGGTTCACTGATTCATTGCTTCATAGATTTCTCGGGTCATTGGGTTGAGTGATTCGTTGACTGGTTGATTCACTTTTTTATTGGTTTATGGCTTGGCCCATTCACTGAATCGTTGATTCAGTGGTTCATTGGTTCACTGACTGGCTGATTCACTGATTCGTTGGTTCATATGGTCATTGATTCATTGCTTCGTTGCTTCATCGATTCAGTGGTCCGGTGCTTCATTCATTCATTCGCTCATTCATTCATCCATCCATCCATTCATTCATTCACTCATTCAGTCATTCAATCATTATTTCATTCTTTCGTTCGTCCGTTCGTTCGTTCCTTCATTCATTCATCCATCCATCCATCCGTTCATTAATTCATTCACTCATTCGTTCAATCTTTCTTTCATCCAGATTGATTCACCAATTAACCACTGCACCCATTCACTGATTAATTTGTTATGTGTGCTTCGTTGCTTTCTTGTTTAGTTGATTCCTTGATTCACTGATTGATTGATTCGTCGTTTGATTCTTTGGTTCATTGTTTCATTCTTTCATCGGTTCACTCACTACTTTATCGATTCATTGGCTCAGTGGCACATAGATTCATTGGAACAATGATTCATTCAGTCAGTTTTGCGTGGATTGTTTCATGTCCTTTCATCGGCATCTCAACAACCATTTGCTTGTTCACTGATGCACCTCACAGCTTCAACACTTCGTTGCTTCTGCGTTTCAGAAACTTTCCTATAGGCCATTTTCTTCCGATAGAAGTCTTATTTTGTTCTAAACCTCCACCCCGCCGCTTGCCGGGCACTACAGGCATGTATGTATGTATGTATGTATGTATGTTTGTATGTATGTACGTACGTACATACGTATGTATGTATGTATGTAAGTATATATATATATATACAAACCCCCATTGAATTTCTATTTCAGTGGTTCAGAGCAGCATAGGCTTACTCCTATTGGGAAGTCAATGATTTGGGGAACCGATATGGAATATTGTTTTTCCTTTGGCGCCTCTGGAGCGAATCCAAGATGGTACGCCACCGCATCACCTTCCAACAAATTCACGCAGGCGGGATGGACGATGATGAGGCCTTCTTGATCGAGACGATCCTCGGTTGTTTAATGTCATGCCACAACGGGGTTTGTAAAGGGAACTGAGGCATATATAAACCATATGTATTTATACTATTTTACACCTATATTTATTAAATATGTAGAAGCGCCGATATGCAGTAACGCCGTTAAAATGGAAATGTAAATTTTCGCTTTTGTTTTATTTGTGTAGGATTATTTTTTTACTATAATCAATACATGCATAATCATTTATAATCATATTTAAATATAGTCATTCATAATCATGTATGTACACCTACATATACATATACGTTTACATACATATATATATAAATATATACAGATTATTTTCAGCAAAATTGCTTTTCTATAATCGATGCATGTTTACACAAATATACCTGTGCAAATATATATATGTATATACATAAATATATTTACAGCAAAATAGATCAAAGTAGGTCGAACAGTGGAAACTTTGAAATATTTCAGCATCCTGGAAACACGTTTCTATGTGTTCGGGAGATGATTTAAGTATGTAAATAAATGCAAAAATGTGTATATATATATTTATTGATTGTAGATATAGATATTTCAATGATATAAACCTGTGGGATTTTCCCCAAATCAGCGGAATTATGCCATGGAAAACTTATAGCTATCATTAATTATCCATAGCCATGTGTATATGTACTTGTACAAGTGTACATACACGCCCCATAATTGCCATTTAAAGATCTAACAATGTAAGTTGCATATGGGAACATGTGGTGGGGGGGTTAGACTATATCATGAGTACATCATGAGTCATTGCAAATATAGTTTAAGAGGGATGCTATTATTTTACCATAGGCATTTTTGATGGTGTATACATAGATATGAATATATGTATTTGCTTAATAGGCATCCTGCTCATTTATTGATATTTTATTTCTATATATATATATATGTTTACCCTTTGAACAGGCTTGAAAACTTGCGGTTTTAGGGTTGCATGTAGACACACGATATTGTTATGTAAATGCAAATGTTTGCATGGCATATAGTTGTATAGATATTTATGGTCATAGATATCTATCTATAAGTGCATCCAATTACGAATGTTCTCAAAGTTAATTTGACATACCTCATTACATGGAAGTATGCGTATAGGTTTTCATATTTTTACAGCTATTTAAATATAGTCATCTGGGTTTGGTTATGTATGGCACTTGCATATATTTGTATATAGACATAAGTGACATAAGCGTGTTTGTATTAGTTGTGTAACAGCTATACATAAACAGTATGTATTCAGTAACTTCTCATATAATAATATAAGTGTGCATTTGTATATATATATATACAAATGCTGGTATCAGCGCACATATGGAATGAAAGTCAATAAGGGGAATCATGTCTAAAACGGTCTGATATTCATATTGTTGAATTATTAAACATTAATCCGGATATATGAGATCTGTCTATCACTATGTATCTGGGTAATGTCCCTAAATATCATTAATTGAAATAGGATCTATGTTGATAAGTTAAGTAGATAGTATCTATAGTGGATCACGTCTCTATTTTAAGCCCGTTATCCCCTATATTAGTGATAGCTAATCTTCTTTGACGTTTCTGAGTTGAACTATGCCGGTCATTTGTCCCAGTCTCGCGCCGTCTCTCCTCTCCGCCCAGGCAGGCTGAAAAATATCGTCCCTCGGCGGAGCTTGGGGCTGGTTTCGTGGCGTTTTCGATGAGTGTTGAAATATGTGGAAATTTGACGATTTTCTTATATATTTATGTAAATACATATTTAATTATATATTTATATACATATATATATATATACATATATATATATATATATACATATATTGTTATGTGTATACATATATATATATATACACATATTTACATATATATATATATATATTTATTTATTTATGTGTATACATATATATATATATATTCATGTGTATACATACATACATACATACATATATATATATGTAAACAATAAATATCCATATATATATATATATATGTATGTGTGTATATATGTATATACATATAAATGTATTCATCATGGTTTATGCGGAAAACGCAATGCCATAGACTATCCCATCATTAACCAACCATGATTGGGGGTCACTTTACATCATCCCAGTCATAGATGCATACCCAATTCCAGAACCCTATGCTTACGGATGATTTACTGTAAATATATATATATATATATTTACTATATATATATATTGATTGGTTCTACCAAATTTTCACATTACATCAATGGGGTTTGTTTATGGCATTGGTTGATATTGTTCGGACCGCTATTGGTTTTATCACATTATATATATATATATGTGTGCGTGTGTATTTTCCACCGGCTTACAAATCATTTCATTATGCTATCATGTATTAAACCTTATCCATCACGTTGTAGATAGATAGACAGATAGATCGATCGATAGACAGAAAGATAGGTAGATAGATAGATAGATGGATAGATGGACAAATGGATCGATGGATCGATGGATAGATGGAAAGATGGATAGGTCGATGGATAGATAGATAGATAGATAGACAGACAGATAGATAGATAGATAGATGATAGATTGATAGATGGATAGATGGATAGATGGATAGATGGATAGGCCGATGGATGGTTGGATAGATAGATAGATAGATAAATAGATAGATGGATAGATGGATAGATGGATAGATGGATAGATGGATAGATGGATAGGCCGATGGATGGTTGGATAGATAGATAGATAGATAGATAGATAAATAGATAGATGGATAGATGGATAGATGGATAGATAGAATGATGGATAGGTCGGTGGATAGATGGATGGATAGATGGATGGATAGATGGATAGATAGATAGATAGATATACACAGTATACATTATTATCACATTATGAAGTTTTTTCAATCACATATTGCAATTATTGGTTTTATATCATCACATTCTATCCCCCGCTGGTTGATGTATGATTCAGCTGGTTCGGTTTGCGCGACATAAAAATGAGGTGCTTCGCAATCTGCCCCCAACACCTTGGACAACAAAACGTGACAACGTGACAGCGGCTTGGTTCCTCTTCCAATGGAGAATGTTCATCATCAAATTTGGGGAATATTCAAATTATAAGTGGTGATATCAAGGGTTTTTTTGCGGGATACCCTCAGATTGCCATTCAATTACGGAGAATGATCATAAATCAGTGGATTTAGGGCTACCCTATTTTCAGATATCCATCATTACACACCCTCGACCCTTTGATGACCACGGGGATGCAGTCACCAGCAGGAGGCCACCAGAAACCATGCTTGTTGCAACTTCTAAAACGGCAACCATTTCCCCAGTTTTACCCGAATATTTATCAGAAAACATGAATTACTAGCATTTTTTGGGGGAGGTTCTGTGAACTTGGGATGGTGAAACGGCTATGAAGTCAGCACGAAACACATTCACATTTGGGAACGTTGCCATCACATGATAGTTTTTTCTGACACCCTTTTTTGGCTGATCATTGGGTTATATTGGGTTATCAGTTTTTTTTCTCACGTGAAAGTTGTCGATTTGCTAAATGTGCAGTGTTGAACAGGTGGACCATGAATCCCACAAACCAAAATCTGGATATACAAAGAACAATCATTGGGAACAAGTGTATCCTAAAACTGTCTCCTCTAGGTCATGCCACTGACCAGACGATCAGTTGCCGGCCGATCAGTTTTCGACAGGAACAGTAAAGCCATTGCACCCATACCACCAGGATCCACCAGGTGTTAGGGGGATGGTTGATGATGCAGAAAGGTGCGACCTGGTTAATTTCGTTTTGAATTGACAGATAGTTCTGCGAGGGTTCAAGTATTTACTTTTCAAAGACTGGGGAGTTTGTGAGCAACAGATGGGTGTTGTAAGCAATGATCGTCTGCGATCTGAAGGTGTCATGACGCATTTGTTCATGTTTGAGAAAACATGGATGAATAGGAGGTCCGGTAGCCTTCTGAACATCACCGCTACCGCATCGCGTAGCTGTAGCTGGATGACCAATGGATTGATGTACCATGGGCTAGCCTATTTTTCAGAATCCATATTGTAGGTTTCCGAGGTCATGGAGGTTCCCCATTTGATCAGGTTTATCCACCACGAAAAATAGATGGACTTTCCATGAAACAACACCATCCAGTTTGGGCTACCTCCACTTATAGAAGCCCGATTCGATCAACCGGTCAAGCAGCGAGGTCCAGATTTGGTTATCGTATCCCGGCGGAGTCCGAGAATAGCTAAGGTGCCGCCCTATGTTGGGCTGGTGCCGCCAATGTTGCTATATGCGTACATCATGCATGATGATCTGATCTCCCTAATATTGAAACACCCCCCAGAAACCATGGGTTTAACATGGTTTAACAGGAAGATTACACATAGGTGGGACCATCTTCTGGGTGTATCATATTAGGGGGATGGGATTATTTATAATGAGGTATGGGTGAAACTCCAGTAGGCATCAGTAGACAACTTTAGTTGGGAGTTGTTCCTTTATGTATGGAAGGTGCACCAAACTCTGGAAACCGATAGGCCCCGGTAGATATTGAATTTCCATGTTTTCTCGAGGAAGTGATCTACAACTGGTGAATGTTCCATATCTATGGAAGCTTAATGGAGGGTGCATATACTGTGTGAATATTTATACTCATACATATATATATATATATACAAAATGCAGCATATATTCATAGTGTATGTAATGTAGTGTGGTGTAATGTAATGTAGTGTAATGTAATGTAATGTAGTGTAGTGTAGTGCAATGATGTAATGTAGTGTAGTGTAGTGTAATGTAATGTAATGTATATACGTATACCGTATATATATATATATATTATGCAAGTGAAGTGCATGTACAGTCACTGCATATTTTCTGTGGCTACCCTCAGTGTCCAGTTTCGCAGGTGCTGTCTTTGAGCCGCGGCGCGCCGAGCGTTGTGTGTGTTGACAAGCAACACCTGCTGCGACTTATGGCGATGCACCGGCGATGTTTATATATAGAATTTGACCGGGGCTGATATGGTTTAAAATGGTTTAAGATGGTTGATATTAATATGGCTTAATGGAGTTAATATGGTTAATATGGCTTGATATCTATGATAATTGGATATTAACTGGTTTTACTTGGCGATTTAATGGGGTTTGCCATGATTTTTATGGGATTTAATGGGGTTTAATGAATTTAATGTGATGTTATATAATGAGATTTAATGAATGTTATATAATGGGAATAGGATTTGATGAAGATAAAAGGGAATATACTGTAAGATTTACGGTATTGCATGTGAGCAATCCACAAATGGTTATTAATTTGTAGGGGCTTCAAGAGTCACAACTCTTATTTTTTTGGGGTATCCTACATGTATGGCAAAAGTGACTGCATAAATCTAAGTGTGTTTATATACTTGGAGAAAAGAAACAGGATTTTACATGCGCAATTTTCACTGGCTTCTACTATAATGTTTGATGCCGATCCCCTCTTACCATACTGGTCTTCCATAAGAATAATGATTACCTATTGGAGCATTGCGAAAAGATCCTTATACCATGTGCATAGAGCCTGGCTGATGTCTATTCTCCTAAAGGAATCAGTCCTACCTTTGCAAGAGGTTTGCCCACCACTCCCATGCGATCGTTCGATGCTTTCCTCTTTGATCCTAACAGCTAGAACTAGGAAATGAAGGTTTCCTAAAATGGAGGCAGCCCCAAATCATCCAAAGCCAGATCTTGTTAGTATTGAAACCCATGGTGACTTGGGGATCCTGAGATCCTCCATTTTAAGTGAAAATCTTCAACCGGCCCCCGGTTGGAAGGAGACTCGGAAAATTCCCCAAAGCCCGGGCTCATGGGTGCGAAGCCAACGTCTCAAAAATCGCTTCCCAAAAAGACGGCCGCTGCTGAGGGTGATCATTGCACTTAAGACATACATATATATTTATATATTTATATATATTTAAATATATTTATATATATTTATCTATATTTATATATATATGTATATATATATATATATTTATCTATATGTATATATATATTTAAATATATTTATATATATATTTATATATTTATATTTATATATATATATTTATCTATATGTATATATATATATTTATATATTTATATATTTATATATTTATATATATATATATATTTATATTTATATATTTATATATATATATATATATTTATATTTATATATTTATACACACATATATATATACACCTAGATTCAATCTAGACTTAGTCGACCATGGAGTTGGAAGGGATGAGGAATGAGGATAATTGTATACAATTTATTATATAATCAACATTATCAACTTATATAATTATTAATTTACATTTATGAACCCAGCCTACTTGTATTTACTTGTTCTTTCTTACTTCGTCCCCAGCCTCGGCCCTGAGGAAAATGTGGATGGTCTCAGACTCTGGCGATCAGAAAGCCGTCCTCCGCAACGCCTCTCGGATCGCCGGCGCGTTTTTTGGGGCCGCACTCCCCGATCTCTCGCTAAATGCTACGGCAAAACAGGTGGGTTACTGCTGTATCTGGAATCCACACGTATCATGTCATAACATTTGGAACATCCACATAAGTGCACCTAGACTCTAGACGATCCATAGAAATGGGTGAACAATGGTGAACAATCAACAGATGGAGTAAGTTTTGGGTTAGATTGACCCTCGGTCCAGGTAGATACCCTCGACTTTACAATAAAAGCTTATCAGAGACACTTGGGGTGAATATCCCCTTTGTTTTGACAACATCGCGCAAAGCTGATTTGCAACTGACATATAAATTAACTGCAACTGCAAGCTTTCTCTTCGTTTTTCCAACCCAAAGGTCACCGGTGTGAATCGTCGGGCCAGTTAGTGGGCAAATGATAGCGACCTCACTGGCTGACTTCATGAATGATACGTGGTAAGGGAACCATCTGGAATTACCCAAGAAAAACATACAAAAATGTTTTATTCATGATTCATGATATTTCATGATATTTCATGATCCATCATAAGTTCCTCCAGAGAAACGTTGTGCGGCCGTGCCATTTCCTAAGGTCCAAACTGGGATGGCGCTCCGTTTGTGGCTCGGCATGGAGAGCCACTGAGTGAGATGATCCTCCAAGTACATGGCTTTCAGGGCTATATGCTATGATACCTTTGAACATTTTAGAATACCTTGGGATGAGATAGAGATAGATACATCCCAGCTAATTTTGAGGTGAACAGAAGGATACCAGGGTTTTTGACCCATTCTGTGGATCTTTGGTATGTATTTCTTACATGGCTCAATAGAGTTTTTGTGACAGTGTTTGTTATTCTCAATATGATGTCACCATGTAGTACATCATGTACTTATTGCCATCACGGATCATATTAATGATCATATACTATATATATACACTGAAGTGGCTTTACCATAGTTCACTCACGCTCAATTCGACAGATGGCATAGGTTGAAGGCTTGGACTGTGACACGTTGACACGTTGTGAAACATCTTGTGAATTCTCATGAATGCGGAAATATGGAGGTTTCCTAAAATGGGTGTACCACTTAAGATTGATGGTTTAGAATTTTGGATGATTCGGGGGTACCCACATTTTAGGAAAGCTTCATATTGTGTATTGATCTTCTGTTGGTTGACTTAATTACTCTGGATATGGACTGGTTTTGATTACTGTTAGGAGCTGTTTGTTTGCCACATTCGGATCCTTTCCTCTAATTCACATCATAGACTTTTTCATTTTTTGTTTGGATCTATGAATCAGTTGATATATGTTAATATCAAATGAATGATTTGTTCACAGTTTCATTATATTCATTTGATTCATATGTTCATCCCGTCCTTTCCCCAATCCGCGACCTTTCAGGAAGACCTCCGACGGTGAAGAAAATCCAGGCGCAGCGACAAGTTTTATTGTTGATATTAGCTGAATGGGACATCAACATCCCATAAATAAACGTATTGAAGAGGGATCATTGCAATCCACTGCGTTTCTTTTTGTTTCAATATAAGGTTTGCAAGAAACGCAACATCTGAAGCTATTGACAGTCACTGGGACGAAGGCTTCCTTGCATCGGGAATTTGGGAATAGCGTGGCTTGATTGTTGTGGCTGTTTAGGCCTATGACTTCTAGGAAGGCTTGACATGAACACATCGTTTCACCAGGAGTTTTTGGAGAAATATAGAGACATGAGATTGTGACTCTGACTCATTACAAATTCCATCAATCTCCAGGTCCGCTGACTTATTGCTGCTTTACTATATATAAGATATTATGTGATATAAAATTATGTATATATATATATACATATACATATCTGTATATTCATATCATATGGCCATCATTTCTCTATTATATATGCCATACTCTCCAGCAGACTAATCTAGATTGCCATTTGAGCAGTGTTCAAAACCCTCTGTTGTCCCTTGCCCAGTTCATGGATGATGATAATCCCCAACAAAAAAGAATAGATTTAAGTAGTATAATCCCATGTTGTGTCATACATCAACAATTAATTGTTTCAGTTATATATCACATAAAAATCACCTTTTTTGTTCATGGTATAAACAAGATGGAAGCCACGAACCCGAATGTATTCACGTTCTTGGGCTACGAGTCCAAACCTCTGCAATAAAAAAGCGAACTCTTTTTTCCACGCATCGTGCGCTCATTGTCGCAGCGAAGGCACCTGATGACAGACGACTAGATGATTCCAGGGCCAACTTACACAGAGACACAGAAGAACAGAAGATGACAGAATACCAAGGGTTCAAATTTTGCATGTTTGCTATAGATATGCTTGTTCCGTATCTAATGCAAAATTCCAGGTGCCAGTCAGCGCCTTCTACTGCGAAAGTCCATGTGGCAACTCGTCTTCTGCTGCAGTTGGCTGCAATGATCGCAGTCCATCATCAGCCTGCGACAAGGTCAGATGCAAGTTTTTCTGCCACGCCCGCTCTCTAGTAGTTTTTCATCCAGTTCCGCTGACCGTGTGATATGTGCATGGTAATGAACCGTGTAAATAGAATTCCAGAGCTGCTTGTGCAAACTGACCTCTCAACAACATTTGCTGTGTATTTCACCCTGTTTGACAACTGCATTGCTGTGAGAGGAAAAACAAACTATGTCCGATGCAGTTCTGCAGACGGGTTGTATCTGTATGGCAATCAATCTCTCTGAAATTCTTAAATGATTCGTGATTATCCATGTATTGCAAAATGTGATCTGAAAGCTGAGCAGGACTCGTGATCATTTACAAAATGAAACTTGTCCAAGTCACTGCGGTCAAGCGCAAGGCAGCCAGCGCCAGACAGCCAGCAAGGTTTGCACTCCCAGTATCTCAGTGACCGATTGCAGAAGACACGCCAGCAAGACACGCCAGCAAGACAAGCCTGGAAGACAAACCTGGAAGACAATTCTGGAAGACATTCCTGTAAGACACTCTGGGAAGACGCTCTTAGAAGACTCTCCAAAAACGTTCGCGTGACTTTACTTCTCACTGAGGCCGCGACTTTCATTTTTGATGTTCATCCGTTCAGCTCACAACGCAGGGACTGAGCCACTGCGGTGAGTACATCTCTCCAGTCATGGATTCGCCTTTGTCATTGCTTCCGCCAGAGAAAGCGGCAGTTCCGGCAATCGAAAAGCGCTTTGAAATCCACTTTCAAGATCCAGGAAAACAAGTTCAAAATGTTGATAAGAGATGTTGTACAAGCATATGCAAGCTTCCGCTCCATCCATGGTGGCTGCATAAGAATGCAAAACACTCGCAGCACCGTGTGATCCCTGCTGCTTGACTTGAACTGGTTCGTTTCCAAAGATGCAAAAACACACATGTAATTCCTGGGACAAAATGTCCACGTCAGTATGCGTTGCCCAATGGTTGTTGCCGACCTGGCTGATGTTGTCAGCCACAGCTCGCTGCATTTTTGTCAGCACATCCCTGCCTGCATCTATTCTGCTGCACAAGGTTTGGACTCTCGCCATGCTTGCAATGCAAAATCAATGTGTTGGCTGCGTCCAGCGTCAGGTCATGAACACTATTGACGCCTTGCAGAAAAGCAAACGGTGTGTTCGCGATCAACCGCGACATCTTCCAAGAATCCAACCACATACCTGCAACTTCGTTAGCCAAACATGTCGTGGCAAAATCAAGAAACTGTTTGGGACTCCAATTCATAACACCTTGGCCAACAATGCCACGCAAACGTCTGACCATCGCCCCACGACTGACATCCTCAGAAAACAGCCGTTCCAGTGACAACGGCAAGTTGTGCTGTTCTGCCCGCAATGTTTCCAATGCTGCCGCCACAGACAAAAAGAAACAGTCGCCGCCAGCGCCGGCATCAGCTGCAAAGGCACGCAGTCTGTGCTCGCGTAGCAAATAATCATCAGCAGCCCGGGATAAAGTCGACAACCGTAACTGCCAGCTCTGGCAAAACATCGTTCGATCTGCAGTAGATTTTCCAGGCCAGGGACGTTTCCTGTTGCCAACATCTGGTTGCTGAGTCTTTGACACTGCAAGGAGCCACACATTGTCTTCATACACAAAACCACCAGTTTTGTCCAAACGAATCGGCTTCGGCAATTGGTGGGCCGCCGGGAAGCCTGGTAAAGATTGCAAGGCTGTATCCACAGCGACGTGGGATGCTTCAGCCACATCCTGCCACATGTACCGTGAACGCAACTTGCAACAATGTAATACTTCCCCTTATTTAATTCCGTCCGGTAAGATTGCACCAGTTTCACTACGAACAGCTAGAAACTTTCAAAACAACACAATTGTAAAACACCGACGACAGCAGCCCCGCCTCCAAACGTTTCAAAAAGTCAGCAATATATTGCGGAGGGCCATGTTCGAAGACATCAAAATCGATGTCAGAGCCATCTGGCAGCATAGGCAGGTTCCTGAATAGGGACCATTCTAAACACGTGGCTCGACCCAGAATCATGTATACGTGTTGGGTATACTCCTCCGCAGTGAAATAATCGGGCTTGCTGAAATCAATAGTATGGCCCATGTTCCGCACAGTTTTGCCTTGTTGATTATTGTATGTTCCTGCCATCCACGGTGCCAATGGATATTGTACTCGAGTGACATCCAAGTAAATTTCCCCACGTCGACGAATTCGCAAGCGAAATTCGTCTTCGCAGGGATCCAAATGCCAGATGCCAGGCAAGCCTTCACCAGTGTAATCGTCTCCGCGATCTTCAACTCGAATGGTGATGCTTGCAGGCAAGTAGTCCAATCGGCAGATTCCTTCGGTCCAACACGGGTGTCCAAGTGGTGGTTGTGACAAGCCAGGTGGGCAGCCTGGAATACCGTATCTTTCTTCCGGATGAACATGGATCGCAACGATCTCTGCAGGGCATTCTTGCACGAGCTCTGGTGCCATCAACTTTTTGGTGATCTTCACGCGAAGTCCAACGTGCAAAGGTGCAAAGGCCATCAAATTGCACGTCTTCGAAGCCATATTGGTAATGGACAAGCACTCTCGCAGTACACTTTGATCAGCGAAGTATTCCTTCTGATGCACCAAATCAACTGCCTGCGCATAATAAATAACCTGCCCTTTGGCAAACAAAAACGATTTCAGTACCTCGGCAACACCCTGCAAACATTGGCCAAACCGACGCTGGAAGGAGCGTCCCAAAGCAGGTGGAAAATGTCTGACAAAGTGTCGCGGGCGACCATCCATCGTGTTCTGGAAAGCATGTACACCAAAGCTGCTCCGCGCCGATTCGTAAACAGTGATCTGCTGGAGGCGAGCCACTTGATCCCAATTGATTGCCGAAAACACACCATTGGCAAAAAAAACCGTTGGGCCCACTTGCCGACCGTCACTGTCACGCATAACAAAATTGCTATCAAGACGAGGATCGTTTGCTCTGGGGCGAAACAATTGCTTGCGTATCAAATCTTTGAGTTCAGGAGTCAGTGGGTGGAAACCTTCTTTTCGCATGTTCTCCAGGATCGCTGCCAAAGGGTCACCGGCTTTGAATCGATGGCTGCCTCGAAACAAAATCGTTTGTGGCAAAAAGCGATCGAAAATTTGCAAGCCCCTGCGATCGATCTGCTGCTTGCGCTGGCGCGACTGCTCGTCCATGCGTTCATATGTAGGTGCGCGGGGAACTTCCACTCCAAATATTTCCATCAAAGAATGGTTCAGGACTGGGTTCAATTGCAAAAAATCACCAGCCAAAGATGTTTCCCAATGTATCATGTCCAGCTGCAGAAGCATCGTCAGCATCACGACTTCTCCGAGTCTTCCTCTTCCCCAGTGCCGGAGCCGCCGGAATGGATCCGCCCCCCGGGACTGAGCCACTGGAGCACGAATTCAAGAGAGACTGCCTGCCCCAGTGCGCTGCGTCATCCAAAACTGCAAGCAAAGAAGGAGGAGTCAATGAAATTTCATCTAGAAATGCCAGAGCCACATGTTGCCATCGACGCTCCAATGCTTGCATTCTGTCCCGCGACGGCTTCTGTAGGCCGAGCTCCGCAGATCGTTTCAGTGCAGACATATAATGAAACGTCGCACCTGTGATTAAGCGAGCTGCGGAGTTCTGCGCTGCGATGCCTTTGGACGCCTTGGGCAAGAAATGTTCGTAAACCGGCAGTATCACTCGAGTGAGCATATAGGTTTTCCCCGAGCCACCAGGTCCATGCAAGAAGATTCGAGCAATCATGTCCTGAGCACGTCAAAGCGTTCCAGGGTTGCAACGGTTACGGGGAAAGTACATAATTTTCAAAACACCCTAAACATCACCAGGAACCGTTTGTGGCACCGATCTGCGAAGTCCCACAAACAAGCACCACCAACTAATAGGCAAAAACACAAAAACATGTCAGGACAAATTATCTAGCCAAGCACCGGAGTCACCAATGCCAGCAACTCGCGAAGGCGGCCACGTGCGCGGAAACAATGCTGCAGATCATGCTCACCCGCCTTGACCCATAATTTCTGCAGGGGCGCTATCGCCAACACACATGCCTTGTACTGATCTGGCGAGATTTGGTACGTACCATCAGCCTGACGTGTCGGCAGACGTTGTTGCAACAGTCGCAACGCCATGTCTGCAGGAGAGAGAACAAGTACCTCAGTCTCAGGAGCCATGCCCACGGGAACTTCCAAAAGACTAGCGTTTCCGGGCAAGAATTCATCTTCTGATGCGTCCATCAACTTTTCATCTTTTTCTTTTCGAGATTCTTGTAAAAACTTCTGCGCCTTCAAGCCAGCAACGACGTTGAAAGTAGCACGCCTCTGCACATCCGTGTCAGGAGCCCGTGCGCAAGGACGGGATTCTTTCATATCCAAATATTTTCCACCATATTGACGCAAGAATTCTTCTGAACGTTTGGTGCTGGCACTTGCCCGACCCGAGCCCACGTTCCTGCGATGCACCATGTCAAATAAATCATTGGATGCCACATGCAAGATCGGTTTGTATTGAATGTCCGGTCGAAGAGACGTGTCTTGATCCACATCGTCTGCATCTGGATCTTGAATGTCATCCACATCCTCTACATTCACGAATTCACCTTGTAGACCCACATCTTCTTTCTCATCGGTGGCAGTTGGATGCAAAACACCAGGTCTGGGTCGTCGCCGAGCTTCAGCCATGAAATCCAAATTAGCGGAAATTTCTCGGCTAATGGTGGCGACGTATTCCGCGGCTGTCAGTTGTTCATTATGCCATCCGTAAGAGCATCGCTTTGCAGCAGCCAAGTCTGGTCGATGCAACACACAAGTGTCAAAATGTTCCGGACTATTCCCGAGCAAAACAGCTTCACCGTCCTCTGTCGTCAAATGACCCACATAATCGAAAATATTTCCAAGGATCCTTTCAGATACCAGCGGTACGGTACTGCAGACTGTCCGCTTGCGCCGACCTTGTTTCCAGGTGCGACGCGTCTTTGGGCGATTTGGCTCTGTAAACATCTTCAGCAAAGACTCCAAGACATCACAGCTTTCCACAGTTCCAGGAACTTTGTATTGGCGCAAAGCAGTTACATCCACAACCTGCAGCAAACATGTGTTTCACACAAGGATATGTCCAAAATATATCAGTTCGATCAGTTGACAAAGCTTGCAAGCGGGAACATCTACACAAGAAGTGATACATGTGTCTATCATACATCTATGTCGTTTATGCAACCGCCAATCCACCAAAATCAAACAATGCAAAATAAACATATGGAAATATCCAGAACCGAGTAGCCGTGGCACATCTACGTGCGCATCGTAGCTTCACCTGTCCCCGGCGTGCTCAAAGACATGTTACAAGTCTTGTCATGGATGAACATGTAACTTTATGAAATTCCAAGCTGACAATGTGGAGCAATGATGACTCGGCACGCCAAACAAAAAAAGAACCAAACAAAAAAACGACAAAGAAGCGAACATATTCGAACAGGGCGTATCTGCGCGGTCTGCCAAGCACTGCACACGGGCTTCAGTAGCTTTCCATTCCGCCAGCACACCAGTGGAATCTCGCACTATACGAGCATCGTTGCCAGGAGACACCACACGCACACGCGACTTTCCAGGGAAGATGTGAATATGGCGAACAGCGCTCGCCTGACCGCAAGCATTTTCATCTTCACAGCAATGTTTTCGAAGTAAGGCAATATGCACGGCAGCCCACATGTCTGGATCTTTCTGTTTTGTGGGCATCGATATTCCATGCAAATAAGGAATACGAGGAGCCGCATGAAGAACCTGCACATGCGTCTTCGCTTTGACATAGTGTTCCGAAAAATCAAACTCACCATGGTCAAACTTGCCGGCTTCCTGTAACGGCACAGCACTGACATGCATTGCATAGACATACAAGTTCATAGAAGCTAATGGCTCTGCGATTCCTCGATGCAAGTAGTCCTCATAGAAAGAAGTGGCCCGCGTGTCCGCTGCTTGTGCCCCTGCAGGCGGCAGCTCAATGTCCTCGACTGCAGCGGTTGTCTGTAGCTCAAACGAATCTGCGAGTTTTTCAGCGTTTCTGCGCATTTCTTCAAACACGCCCCAAAGTACTCGCTTCATCATGATGCGCCAGAAGATGTGCGTCCGTAACACTTCACGGCCTGTCATAAGCTGGAGAGACATGAGACAGAAGCCATGCATGACTGCGTGGTTCGCTGAAGTCCAAAGGCGGCACAAGCGGCGTCGGGCCTCCCGCTGCTCGGCAGTCAAGCCTCGACCTTCTCGCACCGCCGGCAGCGGGTATGCAAGCTGAAGCCGCTGAGCTTCCTCTTGCTCGGCTTCAGCTTGCATTTTCTCCTCCAGATTCTTCATCCCATGAGTCAAATGCTTCAGCATGGGTCCACACGTCATGGAAGGTTTGGTGGTGTAGGCGCAAGTATAAAAACTGGTTTGAATACCAGTGCGAATGCTTTCCACGACGCATTCTTTCACATATCCATGAAGAAGTCTGCATTCCGGGCTCAAAAATCGATCGCCCACTCGATTAGCATCGGCGGCACCTGTTCTCTCAAACTCCAACCGGTACAAAGCCAAACATGTCCGACTCAACCTTTTGCACATGAGGCCATCCAGATACGGTGCCAAAAACTGGGCTGCTATTTTCTGGGCACGGTCACTGACATCCGAGTTGCCAATCCACTGCAAACCCTGGTATGTCCAAAATTCATTAGCAAGAATGAAAGCGGAAGTAATGACAACTCTAAAGCGCACTCGCTGCTGCTGGCCTGTTGCATCCGATCCAAAAATCTTTGTTTGTCGTGCCAACAAGTCAGTGCCAGGGACTGAGCCACTGCTTCCAGACGACATCGGCATAGAATTTGCGCCCAGATCACGCAACAAGTCAAGTTCCTCCCTGTCAAAGCCAGCAGTCAACGTTCGACGACAATCCTGATAGTTCAAATTGCCACGATGCGCCACCATAGCTGCCTGTTTGCGGCAAACATTTGCGCTCACTAGAACCCGTCACACGAAACAACAGTTCCAAAACTGACAGCGAAAAAGTCTCTCTTTGTCCAACAGTCTAACAGCACAACAGGTTTCACACTCTAAAAACAACACTTCCAACCCGCACGGTTGGCAACAAATTAAATGCAACCGAGGCGCCGGAAGACACTGACCTTCTCTTGGATTATATTGCACTGTTTTGATCCGACCACATTGCGTTCCATCTTGATTTGTTTCAACATGAGATCCCAAAGAAGACCTTCCAGCGAAATGCTTGCCATCTAACGTCACACCATTTTGGAGAGACTCCAAAGTCAAGCGGCAACCTTCCCCGGTCCACACAGGCAGCAAAGGGTCCTTTCCGGTCCTTGCGACCACAACCTCGACCAATTTCGTTGACCGATCATCCATCAGCTTCTCTTTCCAGAGTTTCACAAAATGTGTAAAATGAAATCGACAATGTTGAGGCTTTCTGCGGCTACCTTCAGGAGCATACTTGAAACACATGTTCTTGTGTTCGTGCAGGTGGCCAGACAAGGCACACACAGCATGCAAGTCTTCGCAAAAGTTCGCAATATACTGTTGCTGCATGTCTTCTTTCGCATCAATGGGAAAACCACTCGTCGAACGTTCCTCAGCATCTGTCCGAGCCTTTGCACATAGTGAGCAACTGCATGCAGCATACCCTGACACCGGTAGACGATAATGTGGCAAGCGCGCCATGACGCATCCAGTCAAAGGGATATGTTTGATGTTCACCTTTTGCTTTGTCTCCTCAAAAGATGTAGCAGATTCTCCTGTCATAGCTTTCCATATATGATAATCGACCACAGGTGGCACCACCGTAACAGAAGTACGTTTCTTCTCGGGCTCCTTGACATCTTCTTCTGCACCGCCATCAAAACGATCTTCTTCCCGCCACTTCTCACTGTACGGCTGGGGCTTCAAGTCGATGTCTTCTCGAAATGGAATTTCTTCAAAGTGCAATCGAACTGTGCCTGCACAGGAGGACATGATGCTTTCAACGGCCAAAATAGTTTTCTCTTGCCAATTGCGCAACAAAGCTTTGGCCTCGTCCGTCTCAGCCAACAAAACCGAGCGAAGCCATGCTTGAGAAGTCCGATTGGCAAAATGCAAAACTATATGGGGATGGCACGCGAGACGAGCTTGTTCCTCAATGGGTCCGTGAAGTTGCTGCACAGCGGGGAAGGCACCGCCCATAAAATTTGCAGCTGCTCCATCTGCGTAGATGACCCCTGCCCGACTACCATTTGCACGAAGTTGGTCGTCAAACGGCATCACGCCAAGAACGTGTTCCAAGAACAAACGCATGCTGATGATGAAAAATTTGGCCTGTGCAACAGGGTTTTCTGCTAATATTTCAAGCATGCGACTGGCAGAAGGCATGGTGAGTTCCTCGTCCAGCAAATTCACCAAGTACTTCTCCGATGTGCCATCCGGTGTCAGTCCACCAGCAGCAGCAGCGACATTGCCATTGTGTAGAATCACAAGCAATGGATTTCGCGTGTCTGCAACATTCGGCGTCAAGAAGCCTTGCACACCACCATACCTGCAAAGGCTTCAGTGTAAGAGTATATGTATATATATATAATATATATATGTGAAGCTGGTCGACAACAAAATATTCACTTGCCATGTTCTCCGTCAGTAATTTCCTAACAAAAACATTTCAATTAAACATAACTACCACGACAAACAGTTCACCATCATTATACTAACGGCACTTGCCGCTAAGACACATCAGCATCGCACCGTTCTGCTCATGTCTCAGCTGCTGTCTCGCCCCATCCGATCCCACCACATCGGACGAAAAGAATAACAGCTGCGATATCGCATCTCTGAGGCGAGTGTCTGCCTTGGCTGAACGCATCACATCACCCATAGTCGCATGATCTCCAAGCTCACGCAAAGCGGTGCTGAGTTTGGCAGAAGTACAATCCAGGACAGCACGGAGAGAATCTTTGAATTTCTTCCGCCGGACATGTCCGGAAGCCAAGCGCACCATCTCCATGCGTTTCCAAGAATCAGAAGCAATAGCAAGAAAATTCAAATCTGCTTGCCAGCGTGGAATGATAGGGGGCTGGAACGGCGTTTCTGGCAGAGAATCAAAGGTGGCTACGTCGGAGATTTCATACTCCAGCTCAACTCTTGCTAACAGATAGCTTGCCCACTCGCGGAAAGTCAGAGGAGTGTCCCGCGGTAAGCCATATACTCCATCACCATACGGAAATAATTCCGGAAAACATTTCTGATAAAATTCAGGTGAATACATCGACAGGGTATCACTCCCAGTGTGGACAACCTGCACCCACTTACCCGTCGAACTGTGAGTGGCACCTTCCGCAGCATCCATCTGTTGCACCAATTCATCCAGCTTTGCTTGCAAATCAGCTTTCGACATCGTTTCAGCCAGGGCCTTCAAGCTCGTCAATTCTTGTTCCACAGCATCATCACTACCACCAAGACGCTGTGCCCGAGCGGCCAGAAGTTGCAACTTTGCAGCAAACTCTTTACAACATCTTTCCACGTCCAAGTCCGCGCTTGTCAGTTCTCCCGCCACACATTGAAAGCCAGGCGGCGGCTGCTCTTCGTCCGCATCAAGCGATTGGTTGTGGACTGAGCCAACATCACCGCTGTCATCTCCACAGTCGGCAGTCGCCGCCAGTTCCGTCTCCGCAGCATCGGTCACAGTCGCTTCCGCGACAGTCACCACGACAGTATCCGCAGATGTGTCTCCAGGAGCGTCCAACTTCACAGGCATAGCTTCAGCCTCTGCAACCCGAGTAGCCTGGGCACGCACAGCAGCACAAGTGGCGCCCAATTCCATGAACTGTTCCTTTGCATTGTCCTCAGAGACTGTAAGGTGCTGATAAGCAACATTGTGAGCGACAAGATACTTTGCTGCTGTCATATATAAATCTCGCGGAACTTCGGCCCAAGTAGCACGATCCAAGTCCTAGCATGACACACAAACGATGTCCGACAAATAACGGTGGGTCTCAATCGAAGCTGCAGGCAGTTCAGTGGATACCAATTCTCGTATCTTAGCTTGCGGAAATGCTACAGTGTTGCTTCGCATGCCCATTTGTTTTTCTTGCCTTCTCCCCGGCTTGTCTTTCTCGGCAATGATTTTTTGCACCACAGCACGGCCCAAGGAAAGAAGTAAGAATGTCATAGGAGATAATTTCTTGCCTTGATTGCGAAACACGACAGGTTCACGACCAATCCACAAAGAATTGGCAAGCGCAAACTTGGGCATCTGTGGCACCTTGCGCGTCAAGCTCTGCGAGCAAGCCATACAAACATCCACGACAGTATCGGGACCGAGCCGCGATGGAACCATCTTTGTGTTCAGCAACCATCGCCAAGCTCGGCCTGCTTTGTCTTTGCCAGTCGGATGTTCAACAGTACTAGCCAAAAGTTCGGCTAAAGGAATCAAAGGCCACAGTCTGGAGTAACGATATACATCGAAAATGTGCGAATGCAATCTTGCAACAGCTTGAGGAGATATACTAAGCACACCGTCATCTTGTTCCTTCTCCTCCTCCTCCGCTTCATCTTGATCATTCGCAGGGTCTTCCAAATTCACCTCATCCAATTCCGTCGCTCCAAGCGGCGTCACAAACAGTTTCACCGGTCGAAGGTCCTCCTTCCAGAACCCACGGGCACACACACAACATGAAGATAAGGACCGAGGCTCTGCGTGTTTGCCTCTGCAGCTATGCACTTGATGAAATGCGTGTTTGGCAATGCCCCGTTGCATCTGTTCACCTTTGACAGGAAACGGTCCTGGGCCAGGGATGCCAAAAACAGAAACAAATGCACCCCGACACACGGAGAGCCATCATATTAGTTAAGCAAATTGGAACTGGTTATTTTCAACTGGTTGCAGAAACTATTTCACTCATGCCAGTATGCGTGACATCACAAAAAGAAGATACATCACACCATCCTATCAGTTTGTCATTGAGTACCGACTTGACTATCCGCCTTCCACTTGCTCATAGAACATCATGCGCTTGCGATACTCTTCCACAACACGATGTGAAGTCCACCACTCTGCACGATTGCCTGCGCTGTCAGCAGCCACATGATGTTCTTCCAGATGTTTCAAGAATTCACGTTGTGTGTTCATCTCACTGCCGCAAAGCTCACAGGCCAGCATACACGTTGCTTCTGGACCACGTCGAAAAGGCCAACGATCTCCTGAATCTGTCAACTGTGAAGCTTGGATGTATGCTTCCTTCTGCATACGGCGCTGCCAAATGCTTGGGAATGCTTCTTCCCAAGTTATCCTTTCGGCAACACGCATAGCTTTTCTGCCGGTGAGCAATGTTTTCATGCGGACCCGCCGAACTTTCTGCGCCAAGGCGTCTGAGGCGCTCTGCGGCCCTCGGACCGGCAAAGACTGCTGATTTTGCCACAACTCTTGAACTTCTTCGAAAACCTTCAAATGATGCGGCCACCACAAGAAGCATGAATGCAGTGGTAAGGCTTCCCACGCCAACATCTGGTCTTCATTGAGAGGCAACGCAAAATCAGACAGCACCCCTTTACGCTTGTTGACAACAACTCCAAAACGACGAGAGCGGACCTTGCGAATAGCTGTCACAAGTTCCGGGTCTGAACTGTGGCCACCATCTTTGTCGGGCCACCTGCTTTCAGCAACACAAAAAGATTCCACACGAGCTCTCACACTAGCAGTATCATCCGATGTCGCAACTGGGCATGTCTCCAACCATTCCAAAGCGGCAGTTTGTTCATCAACAGATAAAGATTGCATGGAAAAAAAAGCAGCAGATTCGAAACCTCGACACACAGCAATGACAATGTCCGCAAAGCAACAGCGACGATCAGCCGCAGCGTCATGACAATACCGCCGAAACGCCGTCCCTGGTAGATCGGCCAAATACGGTAAGCAGTCCAAAACCGTCTTGTCCGCCACAAACTTGACAACACCACCACGAAGCTGCTCATCCAGCGGACTTGTGTCCGGCCCCTGACCTCTGGGCAACATGTCTTTCAGCAATCGAAGCATGCCTGCCCTTCGCAACTTGCTGTATAGAGCCGACGTCGTTGGCGGAGGTTGACCAGCATTGGCATCCATGTAGTCCCGCACTTCCTGTCGGAGCTCCACTTCCTTTTTTTGCTCTTCTGCCTGCCGAAGCTGCTCTTCCCTTGCACTCTTCTTCCAACAATCGGAGCAAGCCTGCCCTTCGTATAGGGCCGACGTCGTCGGCGGACATTGCCCAGAATTGGCCTCCATGTAGTCCCGCAGTTCTTGCCCGAGCTGCGCTTCCATAGGAAGCCTTTCTTCTTCCAGCAATCGCAGCAAGTCTGCCCTTCGCAACTTGCTGTATAGAGCCGACGTCGTCGGCGGACATTGCCCTGCATTGGCATCCATGTAGCTCCGCAGTTCTTGTCGGAGCCGCGCTTCCATAGGAAGCCTTTCTTCTTCCAGCAATCGCAGCAAGTCTGCCCTTCGCAACTTGCTGTATAGAGCCGATGTCGTCGGCGGAGATTGCCCTGCATTGGCATCCATGTAGTCCCGCAGTTCCTGTCGGAGCCGCGCTTCCATAGGAAGCCTTTCTTCGTCCAGCAATCGCAGCAAGTCTGCCCTTCGCAACTTGCTGTATAGAGCCGACGTCGTCGGCGGAGATTGCCCTGCATTGGCATCCATGTAGTCCCGCAATTCCTGCCGGAGACGCTTTTCCCTTTGTGCTGCATCTGCTTTTGGGCGCCCCTTCGGTCCGAATGTGGGCCAAGTCAGTGCGAACAATACAGCATAGAACCAGGCCGGTTCGGGCCATGCTAAATGCACAAGTAACAAGGCTGTGTGCGCCGTGCACAGATTTCTGTTCGGAGCATGTACGCCGAAGAGACATGATGTGAGCCAGACACAGAGAAGAGCAACCTGGATTCAGGACAATGTCGCTACTCAAGCGTGAAGCAGGAAGTGATACAAATCCCATGTTCTCTTTCTTGCGAAACGTTTTACAGAACATATTGAAAACATTGAAATCCTATCACAGTCGCTTTCGTGCTGACGCCTGCTCACAAGTCAGATTAGGTTACGCCGGGTAACAAGTCAGATTAGGTTGAAATTCTGTCACCTTTGATTTGCAAACATTGCGCATAAACCTGCAGCCTGTATGAAAGGAAGTCAAAAGCACAACAAGAAATCCATTCAGACAAGTGTCGGCCGCAGTGTCTTCATCCTGCAAGCCAGGTTGAAGCAAACAAATGAAACAGACACAGGGACCTGAGATACGGTAAACTTTTCTGGGAAACTCAAGCGAATGAAACAGATAAAGGGGCCTGAGATACGGTAAACCTTTCTAGGAAACTCATGTCTCAATGTATGTCTCAATGTCTTTGTATTGCAAGGCTGTACGCTATCCAAGCATGCGCGTGCAATTGCCACCAGAATGATGCCGTAAGTACAACAACAAAAAGCACGGAGAGCACCTCCTGTCGCCAAAGCATATGCCACAAAGGTAATGACTCCACTGCGGGCCACAGCAGATCCTGCATCAGAGTCAAAGTGTTGAGTCCAAACAAATATATAAATCGACTCACTAAATGCTTCAGCTTGGTTATTTGTGCCAAAGAAATGAAAATAATCGGCCACACATCTCACTTCTGCCATTCGACCGCGACGCGGCAACAGAGCGATCGGTTTCAGAACCTCATGTTCTGTTGCCATGCTTCTAGCCTGCCACTGCAAAAGCGGAATCTCCAAGGACAAACAGCGCAGTAGCAGCGCCAAGAACAGCGGCAAGCTGAAAATGACACCCACTGGCGGGGCAGCGCAAGCAAGACCAATGACAGGCAGCAACAGCAGCAAGCCGACACCAGCGCCGCAGCGATGCCAGCTTTGGGTTCTTGCGCGGGCAGCCGGCAGCCTCCGCGCTCCAGCGCGCCGACATGGCAAACACACCTTTGACATAACAAACGCAAAGATAACGGAGCCACTCCGCGACAATCCAAAGTCACGGGAGACTGAGCCACTCTGCGAGCTGTCAAGTTACAAGGTCATATGTTTGTTGCATGCGCCATGTCTAACGAGGTATTGCATCCGTATCAGGACCCGCGGTTTGCCGCACGTTTGCTTGCAATATGTGTTCTGCTTGGCAGCAACTTCTAAAGATCAAAGCTATGTGGCGAGCTTGTGCACCATGCAGCAATGCATGTTTTACCTTCAAACAACATCGAACGGCATGCGTATCCTGAGCTTGGAAACCCTTGAGCACAAGAGAAACCATATGTGAGAAGATCGTGCCACCGACCAAATAACTACCATGCCGGACCATGCCAGAAATGTGCAAGGCCCCACGAACCTGAATGCCACCTAGAGAAAAAGAAGCAAACAAGAAGAAGAAAAGAAAACAGGAAACACGCTTGCGAAGACATACTGTCCACAACAAAATCACAGAAACTCGCTCCGGTATTACCGTGTACTACAAAGCTTGCAGAAACACGTTCCAGTACTACAGTATACTACGCAACTCGCACAAATCGCTCCCGTACTACCGTGCACTACAAGACGCGTAGAAACACGTTCCACTACTACCGTCAGTACTACCGTATACTACAAAGTCTGCACAAAACACTTCCCAATACTACTGTGACACGAAGTTTCGCAGCTTGATTTTGCAGCTTCCTCTATAGACACTGCGACAACGACGCAACAAAAGACACGAGGTTTTGCAGCTTCCCCTATAGACACCGCGACGTCCACGTAGCAAAAGACACGAGGTTTTGCAGCTTCCCCTATAGACACCGCGACGTCCACGCCGCAAAAAACACGAGGTTTTGCAGCTTCCCCTATAGACAATGCGACATGAGGTTTCGCAGCTTGATTTTGCAGCTTCCTCTATAGACACTGCGACATCGACGCAACAAAAAAACACGAGGTTTTGCAGCTTCCTCTATAGACACTGCGACATCGACGCAACAAAGACACGAGGTTTTGCAACTTCCCCTATAGACACTGCGACAACGACGCAGCAAAAGACACGAGGTTTTGCAGCTTCCCCTATAGACACCGCGACGTCCACGTCGCAAAAAACGCGAGGTTTTGCAACTTCCCCTATAGACACTGCGACATGTACGTAGCAAAAGACACGAGATTTTGCAGCTTCCCCTATAGACACCGCGACGCCCACGCAGCAAAAAACACGCGGTTTTGCAGCTTCCCATATAGACAATGCGACATGAGGTTTCGCAGCTTGATTTTGCAGCTTCCTCTATAGACACTGCGACATCGACGCAACAAAAACACGAGGTTTTGCAGCTTCCTCTATAGACACTGCGACAACGCGCTCCAGTATACGTCCACGCAACAAAAAACACGAGGTTTTGCAGCTTCCCCTATAGACACTGGGACATCTACGTGGCAAAAAACACGAGGTTTTGCAGCTTCCCCTATAGACACTGCGACATCGACGCAACAAAAACACGAGGTTTTGCAGCTTCCTCTATAGACACTGCGACAACGATGCAACAAAAGACACGAGGTTTTGCAGCCTCCCCTATAGACACTGCGACATCTACGTCGCAAAAAACACGAAGTTTTGCAACTTCCCCTATAGACACTGGGACATCTACGTCGCACAAAACACGAGGTTTTGCAGCTTCCCCTATAGACACTGCGACATCGACGTAACAAAAGACACGAGGTTTTGCAGCTTCCTCTATAGACACTGCGACATCGACGCAACAAAAACACGAGGTTTTGCACCTTCCCCTATAGACACTGCG